ATTGGGGGGCTCGTTGGAGGGCGCACAGGTTTTTGGTTTGGTTGGCTCCTTGAGGAGCAATGGAGCGGACTGCCACTTAGATTTCCAGGAGAACTTGAACGGGTCGTGTGGAGATTAATCCCCTGCTCAGTGTGAAGCTCAATCAATCCTTCCAGGGGGAGAAGGCCAAAAATCCAGTTTGCAGGATGACTTCCTGTCGAAAAGGCAAAGACAATAACAAGGTTAGAAGTCTGAGAGACAAAGATTCAGTTTGACTCAGCTAAACTCAGCTTGGCTAGAGTACCCAAAACTGGCAATCCCTCTGGCGACGAGGTAGTGGCAGTCCACCACTTAAGAGTCCTCAGTAATGAGCACAACCAGCCGCAGGTGTGTGGGAGGACCAACGAGAACAGGGTGCCACCTGGTGGTGGAGGGAGAAAACACACACACAAAAAAACACAACCCACACACACTGGATTCCTAACATTAAATATGTTGTCTTTGCAGTGTATTCAGTTAAATATAGGTTAAAAATTATTTGCAAGTCATTGTATTCTGTTTTAATTTACGATTTACACAACATGCCAACTTTTCTCATTCTGTAAAATAGGAGTCAAGCTATCTTTGTTAAAAGAGAAAGGTCATCACTAAACAGAGGGGGAAAGTTATGGCATTATCTTCCAATTATGTAAAATTTGGTCCTGGAAACTATTAAAAAATTACACAAGTACTCTCATCATGACTAAATAGACCAATCAAGTAGCCCCTGCATAATAAAGGGCTCCGAAAATCTGAAAGACCAAGGGGTGACTATTTGATTTGCACCAGACTTGTAGTGTGCTTAGAAGGATCAACCTCCATGCTGCTTAAAGATATCAGCCCTCCAACTACTGATTGTTCTAATGAAAAGTGACATACTTGACACAGACTCCTAAATAGGTGTCAAGAGGTCTTCAGAAAAGCTTAGTGAATGTCCAGTTCCCTTCTAATTTTAAGCCTGTTTTTCGGTTCTGCTTTGGTAATTGTGTCTGAGGGAAGGAAAAAGCTGCAGGTGATGACTTCAGTGCTTGAACTGAACTTGTGCTTCCATGACATCACTGTTCAGCAGGCTGATTGTGGCCACATTTCCTCCTACCTATACACACTATACAACATTACTGACTTCTTTAAAGGCTTGTGAACCAACCATATAAGGAGTTATGGTGTTCACTGGACACCATAGGTTTCTAAAAAAAAAACCTATAGAACTGTAGATAAGCAAGGTGTCCATTATCTCATCTGTGTTCTCCTGTCTAAAATTATTCCTCCTTAAATCCACATTTAAATACTTAGCTTCATCTCAGCTTCTATATTTTTTGCATCACTGAGTTAGAGCAGCAGACTATAAATATAATTCAGGACTTCCTGGGGTTTTTTGCCCCCTCTGCCATCAGGAAGCTTTAAATTAGACTGCAACATCAGAGTCTTGTAAACTTTTGTTTCAGTCTCAGCAGGAGGATGGCAGAAGGTCAGGTAACGTACGCTGTAGTGAAGTTTACAAGACATGAAGCCAGAGGTAACTATCTGTCTGTCCATCCATCGATCTGTCTGCCTGTCTGTCTATTTATCTATCTATCCTTCTTTAATATTTTTTCTGTTGTGCAGGTGATGCTACGCCAAATGATGAGACCTATTTTACAGTCAGTTACTCACAAATGAAGAAACCAGGTGGGTAAAAAACAGGCAACTGTTAGTATTATAATTATCATCATTAGACATACAAACATACTCTTCAGACTCCACATTTTAACTTTTTTTTATGTTTTCTTAGTGATTTTGTTAAATGTTTGTACCTAATGTTACCTTTTAAGAATCAATGCAGTGGAATATTATGTTAACTCCATGCTGCTTCAGAACCATTGTCAGCTGCCAAGCAGGAGTATTAAGGCATTTGGAAACACACATCAAACATATTTTTAAAAAGCCTGTATTTCAAAATAGTATAACAGAAAATTCAACGTTAAATAAAATAAAAAAACGCATAATAAACAGCATAACACTGACTGCTCCTAAACTGGTTCTGTGCTGTTGTGTTTTTCTTAGACCGTAGGCTCAGGTCAATGCAGAGTTCAGCTGTGTCTGCCTCCTGGAGTGTAGCATGTCCCTATGGTCCCACACAGCACCCGTTCATTTCCATGGTACCTGTACATCTGTCCTTCTTGTCTCGCGCTTGCAGAGGGGTCTGTCTTCGGCCTGGAAGACAGAGATGAGTCGTGTTGAGATAAAACCAACCTTATTAGGCTATTAGGAGCCTGATTTCTGCTCGGATACCAGGTCATCTGCATGTGTCGCAGTTAACGCAGATATGCCTCACAGACACGCTGGTGCACCACCCAAAAAAAATTGTTGGTGACCACAGACAGTGCCACAGATAGCGTCGCAGGGAGAAGAGAGAGATCTGCTCTAAACTATACGTATTTCGTGTTTGGTACCTAATGGGAGAAACTCTGGCTGTAGTGACTCCCACAATGCCTGGCACACCTCGGACCCTATCCAAGACACCGTACAGGACGCTAGTTTGTAGCTCTGTCCAACGATCTGTTGGTTTGCACCCGAAGCCAAAACACGCAGTACTACACCCAGTCTTTCGGCAACAGTCACGGTTGAACTGTGTGTTGTCCAGCGTTGGATGAGGGGTTATAGATGGCGAACAAGCTTGTCAAACCGACACATGGACACCCAACATCCTAGCCAGTTCGTGATTCTACCTCTTGTCATGGAATAATATAGCGCAGACCACGCTTCAAAATTGGGCATAAATCACATCTGCGTCATACCTAACAGACAATCTAACTTCGACACACTGCTGCAGGAGTATACACAGCCTTAACGAGGAGGGTCGTGTAGTCTTGCATGGTGCAGACAGATACAATTGCGTGCTTGTGTACCACACGTCCATATCCATGCCTCTGTAACCATGTGGACCATTTAGTAAGAGTCTTGATTTTGTCAGGGTCCGTTTCGATGCCCTCTTTAGAAACAACATGTCCGAGATATTTGACTGATGTCTGAAAGAAGGTGCATTTTTCAACTGACAATTTCAGACCAAATTCTTTCAGTCGATTTAAGACCTTTAACAGTCTTTTTTCGTGTTCTTCGAGAGTTGGTGCGAAAACAATGAGGTCGTCGATGAAAACCAGGACTTCTTTTAGGTTCATCTCTCCCATACATCTCTCCATGAGTCTTTGGAACGTGCTTGGAGCATTTGTCACTCCCTGCGGCATCCTGTTGAACTCATAGAAACCTAGAGGACAGACAAAAGCAGTTTTTGCCTTATCAGACTCCTCCATTTCAATCTGATAACCAGATTTTAAATCAAGAACTGAAAACCAGGTAGATCCAGACAGGGCAGAGAAAGTGTCCTCGAGTTTGGGCAGAGGGTAGGCATCTTTGATAGTTTGCAAATTGAGTTTTCTGTAGTCTATACACAACCTGATACTCCCGTTCTTTTTACGCACAACTACTATGGGGGATGCAAATGGTGATTCTGACTCACGGATTACTCCAGACTCCAACAGCTCCTGTAGATGTTGTCTTACGGCTTCAATGTCCTGAGGATGAATTGGCCTGGCCCGCTGTTTGAAAGGACTAGGATCAGACAGGTTAATATGATGCTTAACTTTATCTGTCCTGCCAAAGTCTAGGTCATGCTTTGCAAAAACTTCAGGAATGCTGTTGAGCTGGTCTGTGATTCGCTGTTTCCACTCAGGTGTTAATGGAGAGTCTCCAAAGTCATACTGAAATGATGATGAGCTATTTGTAGATGGAATTGAATTGCTGGTTTGTTGGTTGGTATAAATGGTCTGGAAAGCGCTGACTTCTGCTATGGTTGTTCGTGCTGGGATGGTAATGGCATGTTCAGACTCGTTTGTAATCAATACCGGCAATTGGCATGGCTGGCGAGGTGGCAAGTCAGCAAGACATGTCTTGACTATGAGACCACCAGGCAGGGTGCATGAAGTTGGATGTTCAATTAGAACAGATTTTTCTCGTTGCAGCGACCGAGTGGCCAGGGTACCCTCAAGGACAGTCGTTTGGCCAGCAGAGATGGTGTATGCCTCGGGAAGCTGCAAAGCAACATAATTGTCATCCAAATTACACCTCTGGCGATGATGAAGAATCTGGACAACAGCTTGGTAACCTGAAGTAACAGGCTGACAAAGCTGACTGAGATTTGTATCCTGAATCAGGGTATAGGCCAAATCCAGTGTGTTAGTACCAACCAGAATTAAGGGTTGGGACTGCTTTAAGTCTGGAACCACTAGTGCTAATGTATCTATGGAGATAGTGGTACCCAGAAACTCAGGTGGAAATGTAATGTTTAATTCAATGTAGCCCAAATATGGCACACATTGTCCGTTGGCCCCCTCTACTTCAAGGATGTTGTGCAGAGGTTGTATCGTATGGTCATTGAGATGTGCATTATAAAAGGAATGTGGCACTGTTGTGACCTGGGAGCCAGTGTCAAAAAGACAGTTGAATGCATTTCCTTTTATTTGTATTTGGCCAGTACATTTTGTCCCCACAAGGCCTCTTGGTAGGCGTGGCGGTCTGGGCGGTTCTTTAGGACAACTTTTAGTTGCAGCTCCTGGGTGTCCCGTCACAGAAGCTGCTGCTAGTTTGACTGATTCCGCTTTGCGTTCCATGCTTGTTGTTTTTGCCGCAGTTGTTTTTTCTTTTGGTCAACCAGGCGGAAGTTAGATGCGTTCTTACAGGTTGAAGAGATATGTCCATCCTCACCACAGTTAAAGCAATACCAAGGTTTTGGATGGTTTGATGACTGAGGTGAAGGGCAGAAGGACTGTTGTGGTGCTGGCCTTGACTCCATTTTCTTCTGGGCTTTCAGGAAGGACGACATCTTGCATTGGAGTTGCTGGATCTGGTTCTTCAGCTCTTTAAGCTCGTCACTAGAACTTGTGTGGCCACATAAACAAGTGCTTTGTGACTGAATGGTAACCTTTTGCTTGGAAGAACTTGACCCGATGTACAGGTGCTGGTCATAAAATTAGAATATCATGAACAATCATAAACAAGATTTCTTTATGAAGCTTCAATGTTTCTAAATATCTCAAGTTAAATTAAAGTGCACTTATTCAAAGATGAAATCATGGGTCAACAAAAACCCAAATTATTTCAACAGTTCCATTTTAATTGTATTGCGCAACACGTATCAATAAACAATCAAATCTATTTAAACAAAAAAGAACCATGGCTTCTAAGGCTGGAAAAGTTCCAAACAAAATTCTATAATTAACCCAAAGCATAAAATAATGTATGACCAATACATTTACTGCTTGGGGAAAACTCTTACTGCTTCTTGGTAGGGGAAAAGTTTCCCTCTGAATTACTCAAAAAAAAAATAAAGTCTGAGTGAAGCTGTGGGCGTGTCTGGGAGCTATATTAACTACCCATGCTAGCATAGCATGCAACCGGTGTACTGCAGCATCACAAACTCAAAATAAGGAATAAAAATAATATATTTCAACTCACCGATGAGTAGATGATTTGGGAGAGGATATAGGTAATGTCCACCAGGTTATGAGTTGTAAATCTGCGGTATTATTTAAGTTATCAGTAAGTTTGAATGAACAATCAAGCATGAGCCAATAGATGAAAACAAACTTACCGAGTTGTAAGAAGCTAAAGTGATCTAATGTGAAGGCATCAGAGTAAATTAAGCAGCGGTGGAGTGTCAAGGCGGGTTTTTTTCAAAAACAGAGAAGCCACAGCGAGGAGCAGCTGGGAGCCAGCGTTGGCTGTAGCATCTGTGGAGCAATCTGTTTGGGTCAGGGATCCGCCCCCTTTTTAAAGGGACAGGGCGCACTACTCAGATTGAACCCGGAAGTAGGGCCTTATGTGCTGTGGGTTACACCTCCATACCTGGGTTTTGATATTTAAGGAGTGAGGCTACAACCTCTGCAATGACAGATTGCATTCTGTCAATCTGTTAGTGTTCTGCCAACCTTATGCACTATCACTGTCTTTCAAAACTCTCACTGGGTTTTATAAATTTGACATTGAAACATAAGGGGGTGGCGGGCTTTACGCCAGTCTTTTGCAATCGGTAGAATACTTCCTCTTGCTGCTATCTGATACCAATGTTAGTGAAGAGTATCCCTGTTCAGCATAGGAGTACACTCGTATTGAAATAGCATCTTATAATTGAGGTAGTGGGGGCATATCGCTGTGAGGCGTTGTCATGGTGGTGGTGGTGGGGGGGGGGGGGGGGGGGTGTCTGAATAGTTGGTTGTAAAATTTATGGCATGCCAGAATCAGTCTTGAAACCTGTTAAAGGATGAGAAGCCATTTCCTACATTAATATCAGGTTAAAACATCTGACCTGATTAATGAGTTCACTGATTTTCAATTAATAGAATTTATCTGTTTCTAATCTCCGTCTTTACCAGGAATCCAGTGGAAGTTCAACAAACTGGACAGAGCAGGAGGTCAAAGGTCATCTCCAAGCGAATTGTTCTGCTGGTCCTCATTGCTGTCTTGGCGGCTACAGTTATTTTCCTTGCAGTCAGTAAGTTTCTGTAGTTTTTCTTTTTAACATTTTTATTCATCCATATTTCTTTCGGGGAAGTGGCGGCCTATTGGTTAGGGCGTAGAGCTTGGACTGCCACTCTGGGTCCCTGAGCAAAGACCCTTAACCCCACACTGCTCCCCGGGCACCGTACAATGGCAGCCCACTGTTCAATCAATCAATCAATCAATCAATCAATCAATCAATCAATCAATCAATCAATCAATCAATCAATCAACCAATCAATCAATTTCTTTATTGTCAACTACAATTTACATTGTGATCAAGATTTCAGCTTCAGTAAAAACCATTCATTACATCACATTCATACATTGGGGTGGGGGGGGGCTGAGAGGGAGAAAAATTTACTGAGGCCATGCCTGCTGCAGAAAGCTGCCTTTGGTGCGTTCTTATGGCTGCCAAGGACCAGGATGCAGAATTAATTTCGTTGCTCTGTACTTGTAACAAAAAAGTTGAGAACTATCTGAGTTGTAGTTGATGTTAAAAAATAGAGGATAAATGTTTGAATCTGGCTGTTAATAATTCAATCAGCTGTTGCTGATGCTTTAAAGTTGCCAACCTGAGAATGACAGAGATAAGAAAATCCCAACGCTCTAAGGTTTAAAGTTAGTTTTAGAATTGATCTTCTTTCAGGTCTGTCCTCTAAAAATAATTAAGAGTCATCAATGGACTGGCTGATACAGTATGTTAGACCGTAACTGCAGGACAGACGATGCCTCTACAGTTGAAGAAAAGAAAATGCAGCCAAAATAAAGACTGCATAACAATTTATAACTTTATAGCTTTTCTTTTGGAGCTTGCTTTCACAGTGTTGCTTTTCATTGTGCTCCCCTTGCATCAAATAAAAAAATAACCGAAATTCATCAAAATCTATCTGAGAATCACCTGTCACTCACCTTACCTAGATATAAACTCTTTTGCAGTCTTTGCTGTTGCTGTTTTTACTCTTCTTCCACCATATTTTGTATTAAAATCCTTTACCTGTTTTGCTTTCAGAGCATCCTGAATTGATTGGCCATTACTGTGACAATCAATGTAGCTCTGCTTTCTTTGTATCTAGGAATACTGCCTATGAGTTGGTGGAAACAGCTGAAGAGTAAGAATGTATTTGAAAAGTTGTTTCTGATTCCAGTTTAGTGCTTTACACTTTTGAGAAAAAAAATATCACACCGACACAATAATTTTTACAAAATCTACTAAGCTGATTCAAATTTTGCCATTTCCATCGAGTGTTTTTATTGTGATACTTGAAAATGGATAAAAAATGTTAAAAATGCTAAAATTATTTAAAAAAAAAAATCCCTGAAGTTAAAAAAAGATGCAAATAAGCGCAGGATAATGGAAATGCTTCAGACCACTAGAGGGAGACGATCATCATGTTATATAAAACAAAACCTTAATATTGAAACACATTTTATTTTCTCTATTCTATCAGGAAATAAATGCATTTAAATTTGGAATCTATTTCAAAAGGATTTCCTGGCCAAGATGGGAAACAGGTGCAAACAAGACATTATTTATATCAACCTTATTCATAAGAATAATAAAAAAAAAAAAGTATTAAAAATGAGACCTAAAACACAATGAAAACGTAAACAAAGAATTTGATTAAATGTTAAAGGAGCAAGATGTGACAGATTTTGATTAAAACTTGATAAAAGAATAAAAGTTTTTAAAAATTTTTATCTTTTTTATTGTTAGGTTTTTATTTATTTCCTCTAACCTGCAAATATTTTCCTTGTATCATTTTTTTATTGAGTTTGACCCCCCCCCCCCCCCCCCCCCCCCCCCCTTTTTCCAGTCCCAAATTGCAAGACATCAAAGCGGCTCCTCGGCTGATTCAAAGCTGAGGAGCTTTGAATCAGCTCCCCCACACCTACGCACCCAAAACAATACAAATTCTAAAGACACACTGTTGATTTTTTTTGTTTGTTTTTATAGAAATTAAGTCCTGGACAAAAGATACTGCAACTTCTGAATCAAAGAGTAAGTACGTGATTTCATCTCTTTCTCATGTTCATGCTCTGATGATGTTATAGTGACACTGATGGACTGTCAGGTACAGGACGTTCGATTGTAGCTGTGGGACAGAAGACGCCTCCTGCTGCCTCCAAATCTCACAAACATCTACAGAGATTTCTTCCTCCTGACTCACTGAGGTCTTTGTTCTGATCTGTTCACAGATGAAACGTGTCTGAAATGTGAAGCAGGCTGGGAGCTATACGAAGGAAACTGTTATGATTTCTCTAACACAACTTCCACCTGGAATGAGAGCAGAGATTTATGCATAGATGTGGAAGGAGACCTAGTGAAAATAGACAGCAGAGATGAGCAGGTATGAATCACTGCTGCAGGTTCATGTTCGATCAGATTTGATCATCATCATGTTTCTTCATTTCAGCACAGAAAAGTCTCACAGGTATCTCTACCATCTTCTACTCAGATGTTCCTGTAGAGGAAAGTGAAAGAGAAAATCACAAATGATGAGGATTCATTCTGGATCGGACTGAGGAACTCAGAGAAAGAAGGCAGCTGGGTTTGGGTGGACGGATCTCCACTAAACAAAAGGTCTGATTGTTATGAGAACATTTTGTTCATTTGAAGAGTTTAAGTAACTAAAATTAACAAACTTAATAAACTCTGTCTTTGTGTTCTTCATCTCTTAGTTTGAGTTTTTGGGGAAAAAACGAGCCTGATGGTAAGGGTGGAGGACCAGAATCAGAGATGGACTGTGTGAGGATAAAGAAGAAACAAAACTCTGTCAAGTGGTTTGATAGATATTGTAATGATGCTCTAAGAAGTATTTGTGAGAAAGCAGCAGAAAATCAGTTGTGTTGATGAAGTTACCTTCAGTCTAGAAATCAGCCTCAGATCTCTGTAAAAACACATATTTTATAAAGATGAAGTTAAAACAGTGAATGAACAAACGCATTAACAGAAATATACTCTGATTTTAACAGATCACTGCCTAATTTTTTTTAGATCTCCTGTCAAAGTTGTAAACGTCAATAAAGTTTTTAGCATTTATAAATTTGCTGTTTTAATTTTCATGATTAAATGTGATGCTCATGAGTTTTGTTGTGGGAAAATTTATATCTTTCTCTCTCATATATTAATATTCATATTTACTCACTATAAAAGTTTTCACTCAGTCTGTTTCTCTCTCAAGGCCACACCATTCCCTGCAGAATGTTGTTTGTAGACCAGACATAGCTTCTTCCCATAACAATCCAGATTCTTTCTCAAGGTTTATTCATAACATGTTACTGGTAAGCAAAGTGTGTGTAATTTGTTATGACTCTGACTGCTTTCGATTGTTGTAACTAGGGGGGAACGAACGCTGCCCAGATCAGAACAGAGCAGAATGCTGTGCCATGATGACTGTTCTCTCTTTGCAAAGATATTAATAAATGTGCCGACTTAGTGAAATCCATCGATCTCCGTTTATTTAACTAGGATGAATAGTTGAATACTTTTTTCCCACGACAATTTGGCGTTGTCAAGGCAGTTCTCTTTGACTGATTTTTTCTGAGGACAGCGATTGTCAGAAGTGTCAGGTACCACCTGGAGGAAGCAGTGTTCCAGCCTCAATACCCCGGTTAGAAGGTTAAGGGAGTGAGGACTTCTGGCATCAAGGTCCCTAGAGGTCAGCAGGAGGATCAAAACGAACCATTTTTTTGAGACGGTGAGATGATCTTTTGTCGGCACAGTTTAAATTAAATTTCAAAAGCTAAATTACAAAATTAGATTTAAAGATTACTAGAAATCAAATACTGGAAAATTTGTTCAAACAAAGTCCTCTTCTTCTCCATTAAAATTATAATCTAGCAAGAAACTAACTAAATTAAAGATTAATGGCTTAATCATTTTAATGCACTAAAATTTGTATAATACTAAAGATTACACATATGAAATAACAGATAATTTTCCTTTTTGGGGAGCAGAAAGGCAAGGTTCCAGGGAATTGTCAACTGCCCAAGGAGAAATTTTTGATCAATTGCAAAGAAAATAGGGTTCTTTTAATGTTGCAATAAACAAAAATGTTAAAGATAAGATAAACAAATATCATGAGAAGTTAGAGGCTAAAAGAAGGTAAGGTAAGAAATATACAGATTTTGACAAAAAAAAAAGAAAAAAAATGGAAAAAGAAAAACGAGAAGAAAACAGTTTAAAATGATGGATGGTTAAAAGGAGAGTTCAAATAAACTCTCAGCTTCAAAACAAATGGGTTAAAGTAAGAAGTCAAAAAAGAGTGTTTAAACCTTATACTAAACATATTTACACTGTATTACATATTAAACTTACACTATACTAAGTTATAATAATGAATTTTAATTTCAATGGTGCTTTTAAAGAAACAAAACTCTTTCACTTTTTACAGGAAGTTGATAACTCATAGCTAAAAATAAAAAAACTATTAAATTATTACAGAAAAAAAAGTAAGTAGGGCATAAAATAAGGTCAAATTAAAAGTTTAAAACCTGAAAAAACTTAAAATAGAATAAAATGGAGGAATTAACCTAAAATTAGATAGAGAAAAGTAAGGTTGATGATAAAAACAAAATTTGAGAAAATTAGATGAGAAAAGTTTGTGACAAGAGAGGGGAACGTGACTTAAAGTGACTGAAGGGTGAAGTGGGGCGACTGACGAGACAACATTCCTTTCCTGAAAAGGTTTCTTCTTTTATATGGTAAAGATGAACAACTTTATTTTTTATTTTTTTTTATTATTATTATTATTAATTTGAAATATTGAAACTTAAACTAATCATTGTTTTTTTTTACTCCCTGCCCCTCAAACATGGACTCCCTGATCGGAGCCGCTCAGAATTCAGACCTGGAGGAGTTGCCCCCCTCCCATCAGCCCGCCGGAGAAAGACAGCCTGCTTCAAGCATCAATCTCCCCCCACCCCCCAAGGCACACACACCGACACAGCAGCCGGATGGAAATGATGGGTTAAAATCTGGGGAAAGCAACACAAAAGGATTTTCATCTGCTCTGAACCCCTGACCCTAATAGCTCACCTGAGCTGCAACCTGCTCCACAATGTGTGTGTGCAAAAAACCATGAGGACAGAGACACTGGGGAATTTTTTTTTGTGGGGAAACAAGGAGGAGGTGCACCAACATAAGGCTTTCCTTCTCTCCGGTGCTAAATTATTATTTTTTTTAATTAGTGAATAATTTTTTTTTCTTTGAGAAGTGGCTGACCTTTTTGACTGAGGTGGTGGAGCTCCAGGACTGAAACCGCCTGTTGGCAGAAATCAGTAAAGGGTAAAGTGATCGATTATATATTTTCTTTTCTTTCCTTTTATTTTATTTCATTTTCCATTTCCATAGACTTCCAACTATTCAAGAAAAGTTTGATAACTTTCTCTTATTAGATTCCTTTCTGCATCTTGCAATGAAGAAAATGCTTGCTGACAGACTGACTTTCTTGACATGAATAGGTGGGAAAATGTCTAATGAGGGTGATAATGAACGGCCTGGTTGGCTTTCACTAAACTATGATTCTTTTAGTGTAATTTCTGATCAAATTAGAACCAACCTTAAATATCTAAACCAAAAATTATCTTTTTAAAAGAGAAAACTCAGCAGCAACTGTCTTTTCCTATGTCGGCTTCAAGACTGGAAAACAAAACGTTTATTATCAGGCCTGTGGTTGTTTAAAAACAGGACGGGTCTCGTTTTGTTCATTTCCTGCTGTCACCATGTTCCATAATGTTATGGACGGACCTGGAGATGAAAACTTAGGCAAATCCAGAGAGAGAAAAGGGTCCAAACATGGTCTGACGCAGTAAAATGTGCACAGGTTTTAGTCACAAACCAAATTCTCTATTTCCACAGCAGCCACTCGGAGAGATTAGCTTCATCTCTTCATGATTTTGTGGTATGTTGCTTTATCCCTGTGCCATGAATGTCTGAGGTTCTGACTAAGACAGAGAAAAGGTGATGGTTGCTCTGACTTATGAAAATGTAAACAAAACAGCAACTTATAGAGGAAAAAGGATGAATAATATAATCCAATAGGATAAAGTCTAAAGTTATATGTCAGTTTAATCTGAATTAGATTTCACTAAATGAAAAACTAAGAGAAATTGATTTTCCTTTCCTCCAAAAATATTATTATTTACTTATATCATTTAAAACATATAAACAATGAAATCAGCAATTTTAATCCCTTAAGTGTTTAAAATAAATAAACCTTACAGTTTTACCAAATATATGGGATATAGTTTGGGAAAATGCAACTAAAATATATAAAAGCTATGAGTTTATTAACTAATATTATAGATTTTCAAAAATAAATAATTAATTCCTGAAGATTTGAATCAAAGTGGCATATTTTCCTGAGAGAGTGAAATAATAATCATTTTTGGCACATTTAAAACAAGTATGTTTTAAAATAAATAAAACCTAAAACCTGCTTAATGGATTTAAATCTAGGATGATAAAAACAAAAAAAACATCCTAACTTTCAGAATTAGTACTGAAATAGCACCTGACATAAAGTTATAAATGGTTGGCTTACAGCAGAATAGTAACTGATTTGCTGTTTAGAGTTAAAGTACCTGCGTATAAATAGACAGAAAGTGTCCATTTTACCGTTGACCCAGTTACAGGAGGTTCGGTAAAGATGGGCGGGCTAAGGGCCCCCCCAATGAGAGAAAAGGGCCTGACACACATGAAGGTTTGCATGCAACAATTACGTTTAATCATTTATGTTATGGCCATTTGTTTGCGTTTTGTTTGTCTTATCTGTTTGTCTTATATGTTGTCTGTAGTGTCTGTGGATCCATTCTAACTATTGTATGTTGTCCATTTTGTGAAATGATAGTTTAGTTATTTTTTGTCTTGGTAAAATAGAAATGAGGGAATAATTAAGGTTAAACTGTAAAATAAGGACAGTTTCTAGTTTCTGTGGCTCATTCTTCCCCCTCACCTGTTTTCAAAACAAAGCAGGAGTTAAAAGTGTTAAAGATAATGCACAGCTGTTTAAATTGGTAATAAAGGGGATTGACATAATGGTTCAAATATCACAACAAATAAAGTTTAATGAGACAGATTTAAAAAAAATTAAATCAAATGAACAGATTATGCTTGTTTAACAATAATTGGGCATTTCTTCAAATAATCAAGGACCTGTGTCATTATTTAAAAGCTAAAGTTTAATTTGTTAACCTTAATTCTTTAAGATTTAGATTAAACTTTAAGGGTAAATAAATCTATATGTGTGTAGTACAAATAACTTGTATAAAAATAAATTAGGCTGATTGAATTTGCTTTTAAATTATTGACAATTCTTTAAGAAGTAAATCTATCTTAAGCTGATCTGGAATAAATATGCAAATTTATTTAACATAATTATTGGTTAATAATTATACGGTGTTCAAATGACTGAATTGGAAATAATGATGATAATAGCATTATTTAATAATAACAATAACGATAACATTAACAATAACGATTATAATGATAGAGGATATAAATAACAGGATTTTATTCCTACATTAAGATGAATGGTGGAGACTTTAAAATTATCTATTCTCAATGGATCCATAGCTCAGATATATCTGGAGGTTAAAATGACTGAAAATTTATGGGTTTTCTTCAACAGAACATATTTTATTTGTTCTGATGAAGAAAAGGGTGGAAAGAAGATAAAACAAGAGAAAAACAGCAAAGCTAAACTAATAAGGATCCATATAGATGCTGTTTATTTTTCCATCTGGAACAGTCCATGTGGAATTTGGGTTGGTAATTGAGAGCGGAATAAATAAACAACCTAAAGAAACGACTGCTAGACTTCTGGGTGAAGTTTGAACTCCTCAGCCTGACTGTCTGATGAGCGTTTGGGAAAACCAGCTTTGTTGATGTTTGTTGATGGTTCAGCTTCTTGCACCCCTGGTTTGGTGTTTCTTCACCTCATGAAACTCTTGTTTCTGGTTCTTTGATTTTGCTTCGCCTTGGAAACATCGTTCTTGAAATCGGATGGAA